CAATGCCTTGCTCCTACAGTCATACACCAGGCAACAATTTTATAAATAATGCAAAATGAATAATAATTGAATAGAAATTGTCATCAACACTTCCATGGAAATAAACATCCCATTCACCTGGGCTGTAGGAGGCTCGAACCGTGGACCCCACGTGTGTGAGGCCAAAGCTCTACCGACCGAGCTATTGGGTAGTCTTAATAAGAAAAGTTTCCGTTTGGCAGCATCCTGCTGCCAAACTGGAATTTTCATTATTAATACTACTCATAGCCCAGTCGATAGAGCTTGGGCTTCACGCATGTGGGGTCTACGGTTCGAGCCTCCTACAGCCCAGGGTCAATAGAATAGAAACTTTATTTAAGACAGTGTACTCACCCAGACGATCATTGGTGCGGTGGTCACGGTACTGTGTACGTTTAGGGGGTGATCCTGGACGGCATGGGTTCGAATCCTGGCCGGGTCAAAGAGTTCTTAGTGATTGAGGGCAGTATATAGTGAATGTAGCAAATAGGCTTCACAGTGAATTGGTATGACAATTAGAACATTTCTGTAGGACACTGCCGGTTGCATTTACGAGGGGCCTCGTAGCCTGGTGGATAGCGCGCAGGACTCTTAATTCTGTGGCGCGGGTTCGATTCCCGCACGAGGCAGAAACAAATGGGCAAAGTTTCTTTCACCCTGAATGCCCCTGTTACCTAGCAGTAAATAGGTACCTGGGAGTTAGTCAGCTGTCACGGGCTGCTTCCTGGGGGTGGAGGCCTGGTCGAGGACCGGGCCGAGGGGACACTAAAAAAAAAAGCCCCGAAATCATCTCAAGATAACCTCAAGATAACCCATGGAGCGGTGGGAGAGATGGGAGGAACAGGGGAAGAATCTCCCAGGTTGTGGCTCGTTCTCCTTAAAGGGCAGAAGGACATGTCCTCCTCGAAGGACATCAAGGGATGCTCTCCTTCCCAGAGTTGCTTCTTCAGGTGATGTCTTGTCTTAAGAATAGCAAAAAATGCAAATACTTCATCTTCGAAATACAGTAGTTAACTTGTATCAACACAGCTCAGATTTCTGGAAAATAAACTACAACTCCTTAATACAGCAAGGATTAACTCTTAAATTTTACACTAAGGAAGAAAATCTTCCACAGCTTGAAGTGAATAGGTTTGTGCATGCCCTTGTACATTATTAGCTAGGTGATCTTCATTACAATATTGAACGATTCGCAGCCACACAGAACTGGTCTCTGTGATAATCTTAGCGACACTTTCACCGTTGAAAGTTTTGTCAACAGAATAAAATAATGAAAATTGCTTCAGAAACATAAATTTATCGCAAATTATTGCAATAACACAAGTTATAGGTCTAAGATAAAGAAATGATGAAGATTCTTAGAGAGAGTTGTGAGGTTGCGAGTGAGGGGAAGACAGCGCACGCTGCCGGCGTGTCCAGTACTCACCACACCCACCTGCTGCTGCTGCTGCTGCTGCTGCATGTGTAGCTGCTTGTAGATTAGTGTGTGTGAGTGGGGAGATGCGTATCCCGGTGAAGACTGACAGATAAAGAGGATGGTGTCACTCAGGCGGGCCAATAAGTGGTGGAAATGTTCGAGGCTGTGAAGGTACAGTGAGATGGTGCGCGTCCTACGGTCATGTCACCATACCCGGCAACATCGTGCACCATGTCACCACACACCGGAGAAGTGATAGGCTGTACCTGATGCACATCATCATCACTATCTGTACCAGACACAACACCGAGAAGTGGTAAATGTAGTGAAAAAGCTAAAAGGAGAAGTAGCACTGCCAGCACACTACTGAACTGGAACGTGAAACTACTGGACAGTAAAAGAAACGAAAGTCCTGACACACAGTAACTAGAAACTGAAAAATGGAGGGAAAACTGAGAGGAGACTCACCGCTGTTGGAAGACCAAAACCTGACCGGGCACAACCTGGATTGCACCTGGATGGGGTTCTGGGAGTAATTCTACTCCCCAAGCCCAGCCCGGGACCAGGCTTCACTTGTGAGAGCTTAGTCCACAACGGGGGACAACTGGTTACAGTTACAACGGTGGTAACTGGTCACCCGTTGCTGAAAGTAACACACGATGGGCCTGTCAACACACAGCATAGCATTAACTACTGTAGTGAAAGCCAATTATAAATAGTTACAAAGGATAATACAAGTCATTTAACTGAAATCTCATCTCTGATTTCCCATAACCTGTTAATCAGGATTGAAATACGAGGTTGCTCTGGAGGGCTGTGGTGTGGTGTCATCACAGATGACTTCTCAGCCACCTCTCACCTCTCAGATGTGATGATCTAGTGAGTGGTGAGGCAGCCAGCCAGGGTAACACATGGTGAGCAGTGATGTGAAGGTTCCTCTGGAGAGGCTTTTGCATACTGAACATGTAAAGCATTTTTGTTGTTGTATATACAGTGATCTTGGCTGGACTAAATGTTCTCCAGTGTTTACCAAGAACCAATGTGACTCGACACCGGATGGATTGAAAACATCCTCAGCGAGCACTCTAGAAATATTTACATACCCTGACTGCAGAAAATGTTGAAGATGACTGGAGTGGCTGCGAGCTACCATTATTGAGACGAATATTTTAACAGGGTTCAAAAACACACGAATACTGTACCTGGTACCATGTACAGTTTCATGTACACAGAACGATGTACATGAATCGTTGCATGGGTGGAGTTGGATTTAAATGAGATCTGCCTACCATGGACAGTGCTCCCTAATCCTATATTAAATCCTTCATTCTTGAGTATACCTGAAGTGAGTTTTGGTCGTCGTTCTACTCCCCACGCCCAGCCTGGGGCCAGGCCTGACATGGGATAACTTGGTCCAACAGGCTGTTGCTTGATGCGGCCCACATACCCACTACAGCCCAGCTGGTTCGGCAGTTCCAGCAGGAATTTGTCTAATGTTGTTGCGACCACGTCCACTTCTGTTACGTCCAAAGACGCTTTTTAACTCCTTCACGTCACCTTAAAGACGCCGTGAGCATCATGTACTAAAATGTGTCAATTATTGTCAATTGTCAATTAGTGTAAAAATGTGACAATTGTCCCTTTCATTAAAAGAATTATTATTTATTTTAATTCATTCAGTAAAATATACAATTATTGGAAAAGTTATACCAGGAAATGAAATGTCAATATCCTTAGCAAATTATTTTAATTAACTAATTACAGACAAGTTGTGAAACAATAATTGCAATAACTTGTGTCCATTATAAAAATAACGCTCTCTAGCACACCAATGTGGTAAGTACAAAGTGTCTTATTGAAATAACTCGGCAATAACTTTGACCAAAATATACCATGTATAAAACAAGAAGTATTCTTTCCTCCCTACAGTTTCCTAGACCACACATAATTAATAACGCAAATCAAGAATGTTGTACTAATAATATCATACACAGCTTGGTAACATCTGTTACAACATTATGAAATGCATTAAACCAAATTTCTTCCTGTTTTGGAGGTTTTTGCTTATGAAATTTTTGAACTGACAAAACTGTAATAAAACTTCCTTTGATATATGTACACTCTGGTGAACATTAAGTATCTTGGGGAGGGGGGGGGGGTGTGGGGGGGGGGAAGGTTGGGGGTTGGTGTGGGGGGTGTGGGGGGTGGGGGAAGGTTGGGGGTTGGTGTGGGGGGGTGTGGGGGGTGGGGGGGGGTTGGTGTGGGGGGGGAAGGTTGGGGGTTGGTGTGGGGGGTGGGGGAAGGTTGGGGGTTGGTGTGGGGGGTGGGGGAAGGTTGGGGGTTGGTGTGGGGGGTGGGGGAAGGTTGGGGGTTGGTGTGGGGGGGTGGGGGAAGGTTGGGGGTGGGGGGGGTGGGGGAAGGTTGGGGTTGGTGGGGGGGGGGTGAAGGTTGGGGGTTGGTGTGGGGGGGTGGGGGGTTGGTTGGGGGTTGGTGTGGGGGGTGGGGGAAGGTTGGGGGTTGGTGTGGGGGGTGGGGGAAGGTTGGGGGTTGGTGTGGGGGGTGGGGGAAGGTTGGGGGTTGGGGTGGGGTTGGGTGGAGGTGGGGGGGTTGGTGTGGGGGGTGGGGGAAGTTGGGGTTGATGTGGGAGTGGGGGGGGGGTTGAGAGACAAAGTCACCCTGGGTTAATACTCGCAGTCAGCTGTCCTGCTCCACTTGAACCTTACATTCCAGTTAGATCTAACCTCTTAGAAACGTTAATATCCTCAAAGGATGCAGCTTCTTACATTCTACTCACTACCAATAATAAAATACGAATGGTGTAAGTGCGAAAATGGAGAAAATGGTGTGCAGTGTGCAAGCAGCACATTACCCAAGACACCATTCAGGGTAATGAGTAGTGTATTGGATGGAAATGAATGTAGGATGTTTCAGCTATGTACAATGGCCTAAAAATTACTATAAAAATATTTGATGATTTTTTTCAGGTTAAGGATGCATATTGACTTAAAAACAATTGTTAAGTGGTCCTGCTGTTGAAGAGTATGTTTACACAGGCAATATCCTTATCGCAAAATTTAATGTATTCGTTGCAAGAAAATAATATATTGTAGCGTATAAAGCCAAATTGTAATTTTTTGAGAAATATTAATGTTATCATATACAATATAACATATAGTACTGTACGGTAATCAAATATACGATTGTTAACTGAAATTCAGACGTTGCAAATTTCTGATCCTCTACTGCCCTACATCTGTTGACCTTTCGTCCTGTTCATACACTGTATTAGAATTCCTAATTACTGCACAGTAATTTACACTACTCGATATTTCACCAAGTGTACAAGACATACATTATAATACAGTATTCTTGACACCAACTGCACTTCTGGCATAAATCACTCTTTAAAAATCTATCTTGCAAATTACCTTGTAAACACCGCTGACCCGCGTCAGTCGTAACAGCTTGTGTCAAGGAGTACTCTGGCTTCGTCCATCTGACTTGCATGCTCTATTTTTTTCCATACTCTAAAATAATTAAAATACCATAATAAGACATCTGTCAGCTCGACATAATATTTGATAAGCTGGCAAAACCTTTAATGTCAATTCCATATGAAACATTCTGAAAGATGTCCCTATGATCATGAAAATGAAGAAAACCAAAAAAAAATCAATTCTTCCTTCAAATGTCTAAAATAATAACATATCTAAATTCTTGGAGTCTCAGAGTCCGAGATGACTCAAAGTTTGCCTTCACAACAAAGGTTGGGTGTGTAACACAAGTAGACGGAGACGTTTGGGCCTGGCCGGTGGCTGGTCGGCTCACTCCGGAGTCCTCCGTGTCATCTGCCTGACATCAATGAGGGACACCTGAAACATCACCAAATCATCAACGTTTACAGCAAAAACAAAAAACAATCGGGCATGACTCTGGTTCCCGACAATGGAATTTAAATATGCAATCAGACATTATGCAAATGTATTGCTAGCACGGCATGAAATGTATGGATAGATAATATGAAATGTATAGATGATACAATACATATGAAACGAAATGAATAGATGAGGTTAAATGATCAAAGCAGAATATATATATACGACAGGAAATATATAGATGCCAGGAAATATATAGATGCCAGGAAATGTATAGATGCCAGGAAAGGCAGGAAAGGCGGGAGCGAGACATGAAGAGAGATACTAACCAGAGATGAGAGCAGAGGAGTGGGCTTAGCTTGGTGCACGGTGAGTGGGGGTAGCTGCTCGCTACGCCGCCCTCACGCCTCACCTCACCCCCGCCCAGTGCGCGAAGTCCAGCAAGTCGCGCACGGGGACGTCGCGGGCGTGAGCCTTCACTCTCAAGTTGCGGTCCTCTGTCAAGAGCACCACCTCCCTGTACAGCCTCCGCACACCAGCTGAAACATATTGAGTGCGATGATTAGAACAGATCCTACGAACAATTTCATTTACCTGGACTTATAGGAGCCTCGAACCCCGGACTACAAGAGCACAGCCCGCAGCTCTACCTACTAAGTCACCACCACAATAGAGAAGAGACACACCAATCAGCTGTCCGACTGGAATATGGGAGGTCGGCAATTTATATTCTGCAAACAACTTGGTGTTGAAATATAAGAGTATATTGGGATGGTGATCCTGTGATCACGAGGACTATGGTGAAGTGAATATGAAGCCCTGACGACCGTTGGGGGATACTTCAGCCCGTTTTCTCGCTTTACCGAAATGCAACTGTTTTGCCTGAAACATACGAACCCAAACATCCCACCTAACCTATCAAGCACATGTATAGAAAACGTCATTATTAAAATGCTAAAATAATTTTGCTAATGCGTCGCATTCTTAGCTGCCTGGTCGGTCGATGTGTAAACAAATGCGACGATTTAGATGAAATAAAGGTCTTAAACTGGTCTGCCAGTGACTCTTGTGGTCTCACGGCAGCCAGTAGGTCTGTGGGGTGATGCTCTCCATCTTAAGCAACTGTGTTCCGTATTGAAGCAGCATTGTAAGTGCTCTGGATCCTCCTCACGGCTGTGGAGTGCCTCTCACACGCTACTCATAACAAGTCTAGTAACGTAGCGGACACTAACGAAGGTCTGGAGACCATCGTGCACAATTATAACATTATCAGTCAGCCGTGAGGCAGGCCACACACCACTGTCCGACCTTCAGGAGAGTGAAGTCACCGCACCATCTTGAGGTTATCTTGAGATGATTTCGGGGCTTTAGTGTCCCCGCGGCCCGGTCCTCGACCAGGCCTCCACCCCCAGGAAGCAGCCCGTGACAGCTGACTAACTCCCAGGTACCTATTTACTGCTAGGTAACAGGGGCATTCAGGGTGAAAGAAACTTTGCCCATTTGTTTCTGCCTCGTGCGGGAATCGAACCCGCGCCACAGAATTACGAGTCCTGCGCGCTATCCACCAGGCTACGAGGCCCCTCCCAGGCTACGAGGCCCCTCACCATACCTTACACTGTGCCAAGGGTCACCAGTACACAGCTTGGAGGGAGACGCAGCCTTACACCCAACGTCCTATATGTGGCTGACCGCAGTTGGGGTTAGATATAACTGACCAATAGCAGCAGCTCTCTCAAACTATGTGCTGAGACCCAAGAGTAAATATAAATTCATCTAAGTTTGTCTGTCTGTCTGTGGTGGCCGGTATGGCTGGTGAACTCGTCTCTGATTGGTAGTCGCTGGCTGGTGAACTTACTTGTGATTGGTCGACGCCGAGTTTTACACTCACCTCTGACTGGTCGACGCCGAGTTTTACACTCACCTCTGATTGGTCGACGCCGAGTTTTACACTCACCTCTGATTGGTCGACGCCGAGTTTTACACTCGCCTCTGATTGGTCGACGCCGAGTTTTACACTCGCCTCTGATTGGTCGACGCCGAGTTTTACACTCGCCTCTGATTGGTCGACGCCGAGTTTTACACTCACCTCTGATTGGTCGACGCCGAGTTTTACACTCACCTCTGATTGGTCGACGCCGAGTTTTACACTCACCTCTGATTGGTCGACGCCGAGTTTTACACTCGCCTCTGATTGGTCGACGCCGAGTTTTACACTCGCCTCTGATTGGTCGACGCCGAGTTTTACACTCACCTCTGATTGGTCGACGCCGAGTTTTACACTCACCTCTGATTGGTCGACGCCGAGTTTTACACTCACCTCTGATTGGTCGACGCCGAGTTTTACACTCACCTCTGATTGGTCGACGCCGAGTTTTACACTCACCTCTGATTGGTCGACGCTGAGTGGTGTCACTACAGAAGTGAACGCAGCAGGACAGAATCTTGTCGTCGTTGGTGGCGTCCTAACAGGGAGAAAATACACTGTAGTCCTTATGTACAGGCGTACAAGTGTCCTATTTAAAGGAGTTAAAAGTACAAGAACAGATGCATTCGAACTAGGCACACCTCAAGGTGGTGTCCTAAGCCACCTTGATAATAATAACTTTTGTATAAAATGTGTGTAAATTCCATCTTAAGTTGGATTTGAAAAAAACAGGTTTGCAGGAGGAAAGAAAACACTGATTATGACTGGACTATCTAATGCAATTATTAGAAACATACAAATAAAAATAAAAAATAAAAACAAATAAAAAGCTGCAGCATTAAAAGCTATGACAACTTTTGTAATAATAAGTATTTGAATAGTCAGCACAGTAACCGGACCAGACAATGTGATGTAGTCATTGCGGTAATTCGCCTTGGCTATAGGCACATCTGGCAGGTTAGTGAGGCTGAGCCACTACCAGAATATTCTAAACTTGTAAACTCTGGGACAAACCTTTTTTTTCTTGTCTATGTTAAAGAATGAAGAACAATTTTTTGTTTAAGCTGCATCTCTTATGCCCTTGTGTGGCAGTGCACAATAGAAAGTTGTATTTACATATTCGTACACCGAAACATGTATACTGTCTAATGTAGTAGATTGTAACCATGATATTGTGACGATAATCTCTTTCAAGAGAGATTGAGCCTGCTCTTCCCTACATAATTACGTCAAAATACAAGATACTATATACAAGATACGTTCACCAAGTATCGCCAAACGTTTTGCCCAGAGAGCAAATCGTACCCAGCACACCTGGCCACTGCCGTAACCAGCTAACTGCTCATCCTCTGCCTGCCTGTTGCTGATTGGCTGGTGTCTCGTCGCCCCTGCCCTCCGCCACCACCACAAGTCGACGTCTGGGCTGCAGTGCGCCAGTCTCGTCAGAATATCTCAGTGCTCCATGCAGTTGACATCTCTCTCTGGTAGACTAAGCCTTGGCTTTCGTGTACTAAGGGAGGTGGCAGCTCGAAGCCAGTATTCCAGCACTCATATTTTATTTTGCTATCACTGTAACTTACTTGTCTTAGCGTAAATTTTAATTTGCCAGTGATTATTCATGTTATTTTGTTTGTTGACTTGTCCTGCATATTTTTATGTGATTACCTTTATTCATGTCTTGTTTTTCTAGAGTAATTAAAATTTCATTGTTTATATACTTGTGTTTTGTGTGTCTTCCCATTACCTTACCACAGACGAAAGGACCAACTTTTCTCTCTTTTTTTTTTTGATTATGTGACGAGGCCCTGCCCCTAGCTTTTGAAACAGCCGAACAACAACGCTTTACCGTCACAATATATATATATGTCCTTCAGCCTACAGTTTAGACCTATTGTCTTGTGTATGACCCTCTGTCTTGTGTGACAGAGAATACCAGCATATCCTCACTCTAATAAGACCTAATGGAACTACTCAAATTAAGCAAAATTGTCATTAATTTTTGTCAATAACGATGTTAATAATAATGTAGTTTCCTGCACCTTAGACACAAGATGACCAAATATCCTTCACCTCTAGAAAAAAAAACTGGTTTGAATATTTCCTTATAATCTAGCCTCAACTAGGGTTAACTATTTATTACACCTAGATATACAGTAAGATAAAACACTGCGAGATGATTAAATCCTCACCGCATAAACATGCATGCACATACGCACGCGCGCACGCACACACACACACACACACACAGCTCTCATCCTGTAACTACACTTAGGTAATTACACACACACACACATCCAAACCATCCACCCACACCCACCTAGTGGTCGCAGGATGACAGAGCAGCGTGTGGTGGCGCCCATCGTGCAACAAAACACCCCAGAATGCACTACACTGCACTCCACTATACACTACACAGCACCAGACACACCACGGGGGTGATGTGTTCACCCCAAAACGACCCACCACAAGCGTTCTGCCACCATTTCCCCGCCCCACAATAAACATTTGTGTCAAGCTCAATCTTCCGTTGAATCGAGTCGTGTCAACTTGTTCTTACAACCTTCATTAATGCCTTTTGCCCTACTGGGAACATGACAAGGATGTCCACCTACAGATTGATTGATTCATGAAGATTAAGCTATCCAAGAGGTGGCACGGGCATGAATAGCCCGTAAACCACGTATTGTGATGTATATACACTGAAAACATATATACTGCACCCCACACCTGCAGCACCACCAGACCATACCCCACACACCTGCAGCACCACCAGACCATACCCCACACACCTGCAGCACCACCAGACCATACCCCACACACCTGCAGCACCACCAGACCATACCCCACACACCTGCAGCACCACCAGACCATACCCCACACACCTGCAGCACCACCAGACCATACCCCACACACCTGCAGCACCACCAGACCATACCCCACACACCTGCAGCACCACCAGACCATACCCCACACACCTGCAGCACCACCAGACCATACCCCACACACCTGCAGCACCACCAGACCATACCCCACACACCTGCAGCACCACCAGACCATACCCCACACACCTGCAGCACCACCAGACCATACCCCACACACCTGCAGCACCACCAGACCATACCCCACACACCTGCAGCACCACCAGACCATACCCCACACACCTGCAGCACCACCAGACCATACCCCACACACCTGCAGCACCACCAGACCATACCCCACACACCTGCAGCACCACCAGACCATACCCCACACACCTGCAGCACCACCAGACCATACCCCACACACCTGCAGCACCACCAGACCATACCCCACACACCTGCAGCACCACCAGACCATACCCCACACACCCTGCAGCACCACCAGACCATACCCCACACACCTGCAGCACCACCAGACCATACCCCACACACCTGCAGCACCACCAGACCATACCCCAAAGACCAACATTAACCACAACAGATGGGGGGGGGGGAGTGGTAGCCGCCCCGGACCACCAAGACCGCACCACCCCGTGGCTGAGTGGCCTACAAGGCGGCCACAACACACACACTAACGAGTCAATACAATACCCGGATGTAGCGCCATGGGACCCCCCCCCTCTCCCCAAGTCTTACACACTGGAAACACGACACCACCTCCCCCCCTCCCCCCCCCATCACCGTTCGCCCCACTTCCACGGCAATTCCTCTTTGTCTTGTGCCTTAACCTCTCTCCCTCTTAAGTGGTCAGTCCCATCCTTATCCTCGTACTCTTGTCAGTCATGTTGAGGGTCTTGTAGTCACCCTCCTGCTTGATCGCAAGTGGCCCTCCACCCACACTTCAGCCTCCAACGCTGCTCTATGGAACATCTCCACTCCATGGAGGCTTGACGTGGGGGGTCAGGCCAGGTCTCCCAAGAGGTCCAAGAACAAGAAGGTCCAAGAAGATCCAAGACCAAGAAGGTCCAAGAAGATCCAAGACCAAGAAGGTCCAAGACCAAGAAGGTCCAAGAAGATCCAAGACCAAGAAGGTCCAAGAAGATCCAAGACCAAGAAGGTCCAAGAAGATCCAAGACCAAGGGTCCAAGAAGATCCAAGACCAAGAAGGGCCAAGACCAAAGGTCCAAGACCAAGAAGGTCCAAGACCAAGAAGGTCCAAGAAGATCCAAGACCAAGAAGGGCCAAGACCAAGAAGGTCCAAGAAGATCCAAGACCAAGAAGGTCCAAGAAGATCGAAGACCAAGAAGGTCCAAGAAGATCCAAGACCAAGAAGGGCCAAGACCAAGAAGGGCCAAGACCAAGAAGGTCCAAGACCAAGAAGGTCCAAGAAGATCCAAGACCAAGAAGGTCCAAGAAGATCCAAGACCAAGAAGGTCCAAGAAGATCCAAAAAGATCGAAGACCAAGAAGGTCCAAGAAGATCCAAGACCAAGAAGGGCCAAGACCAAGAAGGTCCAAGACCAAGAAGATCCAAGACCAAGAAGATCCAAGACCAATAAGGTTCAAGACCAAGAAATCTTCCAAGGGGAAGACCTTGACAAGGAGGAGACACCGCTCTAAATTACCACATAATTTACACCGATATTTTGTGAGGAAATTTTGTGTAATATGTTTCTTCGTTCATTGAACATGATTTTATGGAGGTGAGTACAATACCGATGAGAGAATGTTGGGATCGAACCTGCGTCGTGGGTAACCCCAGACGCGCCCCTCAACCCGTGGACCACGACGTGTTGAAGGTTATTTAAACTGGCATAAGGTAAACATTAGCATATCTTGGTCCGTGGGGTGAGGTGTGCGCCTAGGGTTACCCAGGACGCTAGTTCGATCCCCGCCCTGGACCAAATATTTTCTCAACCAAAAATATATTACACTAGCCTCCACAATTTTGTTTGTTTGCACACAAAAACCACTCGAATATCGCTTTAATCGAATGAAGAAACATTACACAAAATTCCTCACAAAATATCGGTATAAATTAGGTGTAATACGCTGTGATTACACCTTACACCTCCTGGCCGCCCTACGGGGACCACACATGTGACAAATACACCCACTCTACACCCTCAATACACCCACAATACACCCACACTGCACCCACACTACACCCACACTACAGCCACAATACACCCACACTACACCCACAATACACCCACACTACACCCACAATACAGCCACAATACACACACACTACACCCACAATACACACACACTACACCCACAATACACCCAAAATACACCCACACTACAGTCACACTACAGCCACAATACACCCACACTACACCCACACTACAGCCACAATACACACACACTACACCCACAATACACCCAAAATACACCCACACTACACCCACAATACACCCACACTACACCCACACTACAGCCACAATACCACACACTACACACCCACACTACAGCCACACTACAGCCACAATACACCCACACTACAGCCACAATACACCCACACTACACCCACAATACACCCACACTACACCCACAATACACACACACTACACCCACAATACACCCAAAATACACCCACACTACAGCCACACTACAGCCACAATACACCCACACTACACCCACAATACACCCACAATACACCCACACTACACCCACAATACACCCACAATACACCCACAATACACCCACACTACACCCACACTACACCCACACTACACCCACAATACACCCACAATACACCCACACTACAACCACAATACAGCCACAATACACCCACAATACACCCACACTACAGCCACAATACACCCACAATACACCCACACTACAGCCACAATACACCCACAATACACCCACACTACAGCCACAATACACACACACACTACACCCACAATACACTATTGTGGGTGTAGTGGCTATTTACTAGCCAATTCACGTAAATAGCACCAAGTGATAACTTGGGAGCACCAGTGCACCGAGGAGACTTAAAGGGGAGGGAGGAGGAACTTGAGGGAGGACCTTGAGGTTATCTTGAGATGATTTCGGGGCTTAGCGTCCCCGCGGCCCGGTCCTCGACCAGGCCTCCTCTTTGTTACACCCCCCCCTCCCTCCAAGGAAGCAGCCCGTAACAGCTGTCTATCTCCCAGGCACCTATTTACTGCTAGGTAACAAGGGCATCAGGGTGAAAGAAACATTTTGCTCATTTGTCTCCGCCTCCACCGGGGATCGAACCTGGAATCTCAGGACTACGAATCCGAAGCGCTGTCCACCCAGCAGTCAGGCGCCTACAACTGGGGGAAGAGGGGAGGAACTGGGGGAGGAGCTGGGGGTGAGGGGAGAAACTGGGGAAGGGGGGGGAAGCTGGGAAAAGACTATAACTAGAGAAGTATGAGGACGAATTTGAGAAACTGAAAAAGGATGATGATTAAGAACTGGAAGAGCCAGAGAAGAGGATATGGATAGGAGGAACCGGAATAATAGGGGGAAAATGTATAATGCAGAAGTGGAAGAGGAGGAGGATTTGATTTTGATAGCTGCCGCCGGAGGAGAGTATTGTGCACCCCATACCCATCCTGTGAGCGGTAGCGCAAAAAAAAATCATTACAGAGGGGCACAAAAGGTCTTCATCAGACCTCAACTAGAAAGGAGGCGGCGGGTTAGGAACTAACCAGCATGTCGATCTCAGCGGTGAAGGTGGTGGAGGAGAGTACGGAGCCCTGGGAGGTGACGCACTTGAGCGACTGCGGCTTGGTGTCCCGCAGGTAGTGAAGGGCGGCTGCGGCGCCCTCCCGCACCCGCACCGCATGCCCCACGGACCCGTACTTGGCCACCGCAGCGTCGCGCGACAGACCATCCAGCTCGTTCAACACTGTAACACAAGAACAACAATGACATCAGTGACATCCAACACCCCCCTCCCCCCCCCCTGCAGCAGTTATACAGCTCACGTGATTAATTACACCATGTTGTGTATAATGCCTCATAACTCCTGTATAATACGTGGTGAGAGACAGTTATCAGGAGTAGTCGCCAAGCCAGTATGACGACATATCATGTGGATGGCATCCGAAGACAAAGATCTGGGCTACAAGGATGAGGTCCAGAAACAAACACACACACACACACACACACGGGACCAAAGAGCCAAAGCTCAACCCCCGCAAGCACAAATAGGTGAGTACACACACACACACACACACACACCTCTCTCTCTCTCTCTCTCTCTCTCACTCTCTCTCTCTCTCTCTCTCTCTCTCTCTCTCTGACAGACTCTCTCTCTCTCTCTCTCTCTCTCTCTCTCTCTCTCTCTCTCTCTCTCTCTCTCTCTCTCCCCCTCTCTCTCTCTCTCTCCCTCCCCTCTCCCCCCTCTCCCCCTCTCTCTCCCCCTCTCTCCCCCCTCTCTCTCCCCCCCCCCTCTCTCCCCCCCTCTCCCTCCCTCTCTCTCTCCCCCTCTCTCTCTCCCTCTCTCTCTCTCTCTCTCTCTCTCTCTCTCACCTAACCAGTATATTTATCATCTAAAACCATCACAATCATTATCTAAACTCATCATTATCATTAGGATAACATACAAAGTCATCTAAAATATCATGCATAGCATTATACAAGTATAATGAAGTAGCTCAAACCACTACAATGTCCACTCAAGATGACCAGCAGCGCCTCAAGGAGGACCAGAGAGGAGCAGAGTGCCGCGGAGAAGGGTCTCCTTGTACCCACCTGAGCCCTCCAGAACTCCAGTTGATTGACAGGTGAGAGGCGGGACCAAAGAGCCAGAGCTCAACCCCCGCAAACACAAATAGGTGAGTTGCACACACGGACATCAATACAC